ATGAAGGGGCATGCAACTTTTTCTTCGATATCGTCCAACGCGTTTTAAACATGAGACGAAACTCTGATAAGAAATATAATGATTTTATTGATCTAATGCTAAATGCAGGGAAAGATAAGGACAGTACCAGAGATGATACTGGCGCTCACGTGGCCTTTCATGCTATTGGCGATGAAGGTTTGGTTTTATATTTATTACTGAATATTTGTTTCGGATACAATACTCTAAATCTACAAGTGCCAGTCTGTGCTAAAAGTGTTAACTAATGTTGAGACACTAAGTAATTAATGCTAGTTTTTAATTTCTCAATTAGTGATAAAAAATTTAAAGTTGATATGTAAAAATAAAACTGGTTAGTTTCTAGTAACACTAGTTAGCACTTTTAGTAAACATTGGCACTCGTAACTCTAAATCATAGACGACAAAATTATATGTTACATGAACATTTAGTTATGTTCTAGGTTTTATAATTATTAATAGTTTGTCTGTAATAGAAATTTTTGTGAAGAACCCCATTTAATTCACTAATCCGTATGGATAATATTTTCTTAAAAACATTCGTTTTTGAAAAATACGGGTATTAATTAATTCAATAAACAAATTTTATCAATAAAATAAACCTCTAAACAAATTAATCGTAAAAATACTTTTATTACCAAAATTATGACAAAGTATTTTGTTGCGCTAAATTGTGAGCAAATTATTAGTTAAAAAGATCATTTATGACTATTTCCTTTAAAATGTTAAAATATTATTCATAAAGATTTGATTGAATAAATGAATACTTTTGAAATAATAAGTTATCAAAATGAAATTATATATACAACTAAGTATTATAACATGAGGTCATTCATATGGTTAATTATAATTTGGTTCATTGGTTATTTAACTGTCTATTCTTATTACTTATGTGGAATGTACTAAAATGATCTAGAAGTCTTTAGATAGGGGACTAGTAGGCAATAATACAATTATGAGTTTGATAAATCTTTGTTATATAATTGATTTTTAACAAACATTCCCAATTTGACATTGGTACCAATGTTCTTTTAGAAATGTTATATTGATAATAATTATCGTCGATGTCATACAGTAACAAAATTTTTGATCTACAACAATTATTAGTAACTGAGTTCTGTAACACATGAATGTTAATCAATGATCATATTATGAAAGGGAATAATTCATTGGTTTCTGGAAAGCCTAACATCAAAAACCTCACAAATACACCGCTAACAGAGGATGAGATGGTGGCGCAGGGTTTGGTGTTTATTGTGGCCGGGTATGAGGGGCCGACCAACACACTGGCTTTCTGTACGTACGAGTTAGCCGTCAATCCAAGCGCTCAGAGCCGACTGTACGAAGAGATCGTTGCGTCGCAAGACTCGGACGGGGAGGTCGACGGCGACGCGTTGGCTCGACTGCCGTTTATGGACGCCGTCGTCGCCGAGACCCTACGCCTACACCCGCCGAGTGTCAAACTGTGGCGCTCGGCGTCCGAGGACTACGCGTTAGGCGACACCGGGATTACGATCCGAAAGGGACAGAAACTGGAGCTATCGGTGTATGGCATCCATCGCTCCGAAGAGTACTACGCGAACGCCGACACGTTTATTCCCGACCGGTTTTTGCCGGAAAATCGTCACACAATACAACCCTACACGTACCTGCCCTTTGGGGCCGGACCCCGTAATTGCATTGGCATGCGGTTCGCCCTAATGGAAGTGAAATTGGCCTTGTTCCATATTATCAAGAAGTATGAGTTGGTGCGAGTGCCGCAAACGCAGGTTCCGCTTAAGAGTACCAAATTTAAGCGTGCTAATTCTACCACTTCCGTAGTGATTGGTGTTAAGTACAGGATTTAATATCTGTTACATTAATTATCTTTTTATGTAAATGCATACCTAATGATGCATTATAATTTTTTGTTAATAATGTTTATTACAAAGTCAATATTGAACTAGCTTAGACTGTAGTACAATATGTCCGTCTGTTGTTAAATTAAGTCGACAAATTATTTTTTAACATGATTTTGTGAGGATTCTCCAGAATAGAACAATATTATTATATACACATTACCATAGAATTATAACTAAATATCCCATAGAATAACATTATAAATTATTTGTTTTACATTATAATTATATGGCATACCAATGGTATATGAACTAAATTTATACCACTTTAAATACACATCTTAAGCTAACAAATGAGCCATAAATCAGAATCCGAGAAATTCTCGTTATCGAGAAATAAGCCATAGAATTGCATGTGTTTAGATGCAGAATTTGGGGAGAAACTTGATTTTAACCCCCATCCCCAACTTTTAGGACCCCCTTTCTATATTAATTATTAAAGCTTACATATAGTACTATTATTATATAAAATAATTCAAGATGGGTGTTGTCACACCTTAATGTATTTTTTCCAAAACAAAATATAATACATTATAAATGTTAAGAATTTACATTCTGATGCAAGCTTTGAGTAGAATTGCATTGCAGCGAAGCCTAATTCTGATGCAATGTACGCTAACGTTACAGAATAG